CGCAATCGAGTAATAATTCCAAAAAGGCCATATCCACCGATAATCAATGAAAATAACTCTTGATTTTTCTCTCGACTACATTCTTGTTCTTTTCCATTGACATCAATATATTCAATACTAATAACTGAATTAAACATAGCATCATCTGAAGTAATACCATGTGCATTTACTGATATAGTACCTGCTACACTAAACGTACAATAACTTTGCATTACTACTGGTGATCGACCATACGAATTGAGTTTATAAATAACATGTGTCCATGTTGCTCCAGCTTGAACTAAAACTTCTTGATTTGTTTCATCATATTCGACTTGATTCATATATTTTAGATCGCAAACATAATTTGTCGACGACCGTTTTCGAGATGGCAACGTTTGTCCTCCCATTGTATGAGCTTGTCCTCGTATAGATATGGTTTTATTTTCTGATCGAGCTTGATCAATCAAATATTGAATATCATTGACAGTACGAGGATAAAAAATGGATGATATACGAGTCTTATTCAAATGAGATACATCGTCTAGATAGATATCACTCGTAAAATCGATTTTATATTTCGGATCAGGATTTAACCATTTGTAAACTTTATAGATACATATGATAATGAGACTCATTAGTATGAATGAACGATTTGTTACAATGTCATACGATCGGATAATGATGTAAGGCAATAATCGAAAAGAAATATTTAAAACTAATAAAATTAACCATGAAAGTGGTGTTGGAATTGTTGTCGATAGAATTGAAAATAAATTTTTTATTTGTGTCATAGATATTGATAGAATTTGTTTCGACCATCGATAGACTAAACGATTAGTCATAATTGTATAAATACCAAATAGAAAAAGAGTAGTAGATATTAGATAAAAAAATCGATAAGTTATTAGATCGTTTTGAATATCTATCCAATATACATTCTTAGTTATTGTTCGATTCGTATATTGATTATTCTTATCATTCGGTTTCAATTGAAATGAATACAATTTTAAACCAATGACAAATAAGTACAGATAGATTGGTATATCAATTAAAGTAGGACTTTTCATTAATGATTTCACTAGTTTTTGAACCATCAAAACACATTTACGCAGGAAACTACAAAATTTCGGTATTCCTAACAGGCATATAATAGCAATAGGCGTGATAAGTACTATATTTAATCGCCATAAATGATACGCATATAAAAAGTAATCGAAAATAATTGCAGCATTGAACTGAATCAATTTTTCAAATAAGTTATAAATCCAATCCGAAAGAAGAATAAAGAATAGTGCATATCGAATGTATTTGATATTCACTTGTTTTTTTACTTCATGCTGATTAGTAGTTTTCATGGTCAATATTTGTCCTTGATCAAAGCTTGACTAACAATATGTTTACGCTATTTTTTTCTTAAATATTAAAACAAATTATTTTATTGTAAAACGAACAAATACATGATTCGGAGAGCAACATAAGAAACAAGCATACATATAATGAAACAAATCACACGTGTTGTGTGCTTTTTCTTTTACGTCCTTCCTATCGTGGTGCCTTGCAAGAAGAGAGAAAAACTGAATCGTTCTCTTTTTTTTACTATTATGATTTGTTCTAATTAACAGTCAAAAAGGGTGCGTGAAAAAAAAATTCTTTCGTGAAACTTTCAAAACACATAGTAAGAACATTGTATATGCTCGTTAATAACCTCGTGTTTGCAGCATTGACGAGAGAACGACAAAGATTCTTACTAGCATAAGTAGAGAAAGAAAATTTTACGTTTTTTCTTTATAAGTGTTTCAGCGAGCTATAGTTTATTTGTTGTCAACGTTGACATTCTGCATCACTACCGAATAGAGTTGCATGAGTGTTCGTTGCTCAAGATTTCTCTTCTATTCAATATGTACATTTCAAATGGGTTCAATTCACAATGACTTGTTTCAAAAATTGATATCGCAAAAATAACCAAGGTCGATGTTTGCGTCGAGCTTACGCAACTGTTAATCACTCGTTTAATAGGGACAGGATTGCAATCATATGATATTTTGTCGTAAACTGCAAAATACTTCTACTCAATGGCCGCATTTTAAGAAAGTAAAACTACCTTTTTTGCATGTAAAAAAAGTCAAAATGTGTAACTGTCTCTGCAATACCTTAAAAATCTAATTTTCAAACATAAAAATTAAAGTTTCCCCGCCGTTTCTTCTAGACAGCGCGATCGATTGGGCTCCAACTTTTTAAGAAGTATTTCGATCAAATTGAGATGCGTGTTTTATTCTCTTGCAAATATTGTATCTGTGAAACTTTTCGGATTTTGTAAAATTAATACTATTCGAAAACAATAGCTTTCTCTAATTGTTTTTGATAGTGTCTTCAGTGTTTTGCTTCTCCAGAGTCTCGAAAACAACATTTTTCAAAAAAAAAAAAGAATGCATCTAGATTTGTTCCTAGTAGCCGCGGAAAAAGCTCCAGTTCAAAAAATAAACGTAGGTTGGATGTTTCCTGAAGGGAGAAGGAAACTTCAGGTCATTTTTGGTCTTAGAGTTTCCAAGATCTGCAGGGTGAAAGCATTTGAGAGCTTTGAGTTTATGACAACTTTTAATCTACTTATTGAGATTCATCTACCCGGAAAGCATCAAAAACTTTTGCTAAGGCATTCTTGAGAAACCTCGGAAAGGGAAATGTCTCATATAGATGTAGTGCTTATGAAAAGGTCTTATTTCTTTATTTTTCATTCATTTGAATTAGAAATAACATTTATAACAAATTTGAACATTGAATTCAAAAGAACACAAGTCAGGATTTGAAAAGTGGAATTTCAAATAAGTACAAACACACTCGTTCAATACGAGTGCCACGGAAACATTATCAATTGAAAGTTAAAACTTGAAAATGGAATTCAACTTTCAAGTTTAACACAACTGTAGTATTCTAACTACAGGGCAACCAATAGTCATCATATTGTTTTGTTTTCTTGGTCAAACTATTTGACGATGAATTTCTTCTTTACAATGTTGTCCTTTCATTTAGCGTTCTGTTGAATTGAATTGCCCATTCTCTTCAATATGAAAGCATATACACTTGTTTCTATTCACAATTATCTTATATTACTGTCACATTTTTCTCCCATGGAGATCACCAATGTGAAAAATCACAAATAAACAATATCACAGAAATAGAAAAAGTATGATGATTACTTTGTTATTTCATAATGCATCAACAAAATATCATTCTCTCTCTCTGTATTCAGATTTCATTAGTTGAGAGATCTAATATGATTAATGTCTATGAATGAGAGTGCAAATGAGCGTAATAGAGAAATGAAGAAATCATAATAATTATTTTGTTCTGTTATAATACATTAATCAGATGTTACATCTTCAAAGCTACAATTTTATTATAGTCCAGGTGAAATCTAACGAGTGTCTGTATGATAAAGTGCAGATGAGTGTATTAGATAAATGGGATGATAGAAAGATTCATCATATTCATCTCGTGATGCATAAAAAACAATAATGTATTCTTTCGTCTTCGATATAATCGCCTCCAAAATCTGATGTGGTGAGTATCTACGTGAAAACTGTGAGCGGACATATTAGTGAAATGAAGTAAACATCATTATCATCATGTTGTTATGCTATTTAATATTCAAAACGTTTATTCTAAAAGCTCTAATTTTACTATTCTTGAGACTGTTTGTATTCAGTGCCAGCATAAAAGCCATGAAAAAAATTATGTTTACTTCATAACTTTGCAAGAAATTAAATAAGATTAGTACGTAAGTATTGCCTAAGTCAAGATAATATTTCTACAAAATGATGGTGAGGGTAAGAAACTTTTCATTCATGATGGAAGCCATGTTATTAAATTTCATATTTTAATCTCACAGTAATGATTGTATTGAAATATATTCTCTAGACTAGGTTTAATGGGCAACACGAATATATATTATTTCTTTTCAAAACTATGTTCACATAGACAGTAGTAGAATGGAGAAGGTTGATGATACACAAATAGGAAGAACAATAGTCTCAATGTTGATGCGAAAGTTCTACAGTCACAAAAATGTTAGAATGAAGGACATCAGTAAATTGTTCTGCAACATTTTCAAATTTAGAAAAAAAAATTTAGGTACAAGGACGAGTAATCTTTTTATTTATTTTCTTTATTTTGTAATGTAAGAATGAGGCATTTTGTTGTCGAAAGGAGAAATACTCGATGTATTTTGTAATAGTAGCTACCTACGCTTCTATAACAATTTTTGATATCACCAATTTTTTATCATTGCCAATGTTAGCCGGAAAAGTCAATTTTATTCTAAGAAAAAAGTTGCTAGAAATTATATTTTTTACATAAAAAAAGAAACACATTTAAATAAAAATCTCTTTGTTATAAAACATCCAATTGAGATTTTTTTTTAAATCAAACTATGTTTTGTTCGATCTCTTGTACGTTACATTGATTATTCTAATATCATACAAAAATCTTCGTTATAATGAACATATGTAAATATCCTAGTTGAAAACATTAAAAAATGAGTAATGTTATAGATAAGAAAAATCATCTCTGGATAAAAAATTTCTGATTGTAGTTGCAACATAATTTATCGATGTCTTTCGTTCTATTAATTTTGTGGTCTATTAAAAAGATTTCTAGTCAAGTATTTCAATATATTTTTTGTACTAAAAATTTTGCTTTTTCTAACAATATATAAAACAATAAGATCTATCCGACATTCAATTGCAACGCTATCACAAAAACAAATTAGTGAAAAAATGATGCGCCATTCATTACGTTCTTCTTTTTCTTTCTCTATGAATACTCAATGTCACTAGCTCTTTCCGAGAAATTCATGGTCTGTTCTTTGTCTTTTGAGTTCAATTGCAAATAAGAGAGAAAAAGATAGATATTTTGACAGTTAAGGTAAAAAAAGAAAAAAAAAACATTGGGATATTATCATTTTATATTGCAGACGTTGTCGAAATAGAACAAAGACTTACTACTCATTCTCATCCACTGCTATGGCTGGACACATCGACAAAACTCTATTAGATACCGATCTACGATATCGTTTTGACTACGTATCAAAATTTCTCAATTTTACTGCGGATGATATTGCTATGCTTAATGCTTTTTCTCAAATAGCTCATCCACTCATTCCGTCAGTGGTCGAGGGTAGTTATCAAAAATTACTCGAATCTGACATAACCACACAGTATTTTCTTACAAAAAATTACGGATTTGAAGGCACTATGACAACAGATGCGACACAAGTCACGGTAAAATCCGAGCAAATGATATTTCGTATAAATCATATGCGTAAATATTTATCACGAATTTTACGTCAACGCATATGGAACGATGCATTTCTGGATTTTTTGTCAAATGTGGGTAAAATGCATACCAATATGGCAGGTGCACGCTCGATTAATGTTGACTATATTCATATAAATGCTTTATTCGGTCATCTTCAAAATGTTCTTATCGACGCTGTTTTAAGTAATGATGAGATTGATGCAGCAACGAAGAAAGCAACTCTGCTTGCACTTAACAAATTATTCTGGATTCAAAATGACTTGTTTGTCATGCATTACATTGCTGAATCAAAAAATGGTCATTGACATAATCATCTACTAAAAATAACGAATAGAAAGACGAACTGCTTCTGTATTTCATTAACTCTGATGACTTTTTATTATACAATTGACTTAAAATTTCACTTGTCTGTTGTTCCATATGATCGATCAAAGTTACATGTAAAAATAAATGGAAAAAATCTTCGAAACTTTCTCCAAGCGTTATCATTATTGATGATAAAGATTTGAGTCTAAGAAAAATAACAACATCAAAAACAATATGACGTATCACTAGTGTCAACTTCATTACTTTGCCGTTTCTTTCAGATACTGATATATTTGATCAAAGATTGAAAGAATTTGAGCTAAAACCTACACTAAACTTTGTAACTTTACTGACCATGATGCTATCCAGTCATTAAATATAAAGATCTTATCATCCAATAAACATAAGTTCTTGCCAAAACATTTCTGGATAAACCGTATAGTATTGAAGCAAAATTTAAGAACATAGAAAGGACGAAGTTGATCGATTGTACGGAATAGTTTCAAGAGATCATGTGACAACTTGAAGATTATCAATCTTGAATATATGCTATTCATGTACAAAATTGCTCATGACTAGTACAGGGCTAGAATTCAGTAGACACTCATTTGATGCAGAAACATTTTAGACGTTTTGACGACAAATCGGAGGATAGCTGTGATGACATTCTCCGTAGTAATGGTTATCGAGTTACTTCAGATATCTAGAATATAACTATTCCACATACATCAAACGCTTATATAGAAGAACAAGTGAGAATAGCAAGGAAAGAAAGATTAGTAGAAGATGCTATTAATGTTGATCGACTCGTTTACTCAGATTAGACGGGCTCTTTAGTGATTTTACGATATAGAGAAACTGGAAAAAAAAGAAAAGGAACAAAATACGATATCAAGTCTGTCAAATGAACTCAATTAATTAATGAAGAAAATGAACTAATTGATATTGAACAGTGGTATTTGTAATAATTATCTCAATTACATTTTTTCTCATTTGGACACTAGATCACTTGGACAGTCTGCATGTGAAGTATTCAGAACGATTTATGTATACACTATTAAAAATATATATATATATATTAGTATTTCGTAACAAAAATTATTTTTGACACCAACAAGAACACAGAACAGAGATTATTTTTTATAATAATAATCTATGCATTTATAATGCCATTTTATCGAAACCAAAAGAAAAGAAAGAATATGAAAATAAAAACTTAACGTTATACAGTTATTTATAGAAATACAATCAATCACATATTTTTGTATTAGACTATGATTTATAATATTATTTCATTGAGACACGAAAAATAAACATAGAACTTTCTTATAATCAGACAAAAAAATCCATTAGCCACTTTAAAAAAGTTCTTACACATTGCGGTTTACATCAAGCCCTTTACAAGAAAATAGCTTGCGATACAGAAATAAAAGTCAAGTGCATAATTGATACCTATCCAAACAGACAAGAATTTCTACTGACGCTTTTAAACATAGCAATCGGAATTTTCATTCGAAAGTTTTTTACGTCGATTCTAAGAAACATCAAAACCAGTTACTTTCATAATAAAAGATGCGTAAAATCGCTTAAAAAACTAACTCTTTCAGCTATAAAACTTCCAAAAAAAGTTTTCTCACAATTAACAAATCACTTTTATCTACAAAATACATCAAAATAATGTGAATAAAATTGCTGCACGTTTTCTAGATGTAAACGTGATCTTTTTCAAGATTTTCACGCATGTTTAATGATAAAAGTGGCTGATTTTGATGTGTCTTGGAATGGACATAAAAACGTTCAAACAGGAAGCATGATCAAGCGTTTCGACATATTTTTGAGAAATTCTTGTCGGCTTCAATAGAACGATTTGTTTTTCTTACTTCACAATCAGATTACGTTTACATATCATAGAATAATAAAAAGACGGGAAGAAAGAGAAAAACTTAGAATCACAACGCATGTATACTATAGCAAACAACTTCTGTTCATAGTTTTCGATTGCCTATTTCAGTACTTCATGTAAAAAAAACTTTGGCATCATTACCCCAACAAACCAAAGATTGTAGTGAATCATTCTGATTTAGACTTCGTCAACTGGCAAATAATCATAGTTTTCTTGAGAATGAACTCTTCTCGAATTTTTCTATGAATCGCAGCTATACTCGAACAATATTTGATACATAAAATCAGCAGTTCAATTTTGAATTATCAGAAGGCTGACGACAGAAAAGAAGCTTCTTTGTTGTATTCAACTACTGCATGTTAGTTGCCATCTATGCCTACGTTATTTGTAAAAAATACAGCAAGAGGTCCATGTAGAATTCCTCAGATGAACACATTCTTAAAAAATTGTTTAAAAGTGTTAAGATTTCTCAATGCAATCGTTTTAACAATTTCCTAAGCGAGTTTAAACGTGTTAATTGAATATGAACTCAGTCAAAACAGTAGTTCTTTTTTTAAACTTACAGATTTCTCTCAGTTTTTCATTAGTTTTAACACGTTCAAAATTTCGGGTGCATGAAAACATGAAAAATTCAAGTTTAAAAAATGCAGTATGTCTCAAAAGTTTTGCTTTTCAAATACAAATAACAGTAGTCTTTGATGCAATTAAAAGAAAACACATTTCTATGATAATTGTTGTGAATAGCTATGCAGTTATACACTGATATCATTTGTGATTGAGATGAATTTTGTGATAGATCGCACCTGCGAATATTTTCATTTTTTATTGTATTCTTTTCATAGTAGACAACAAAAATATGTTGACATCTAATGATCGTGATCATTTTGCAGATTTGACTTTAAAATTTTCCAATATTATCAGAAATCTGGGTCATATCATACAGAAACAGAAACAATTGCATATCCCATTTATGAATGTTGAGAAACGAAAATAAATGTGTTTCAACGGAATCTTTTAGTTCAATCTCTGTTGATGCTTTGTTTCATCTCTTGATCAGATAGCACATATGTAGTATTAGTTAGTATAATGAACAAGTTAGTTAGTTCTAAATAATTTTAAAATTTTCACATTGTTATCGTGAGAAAATATTTCAGAGCTACAAAAAAAATCAATTTTATTCAGTCGATGATCGCTGAATATAGTAAAACGTATGAAAAGAAGGATATGTCTAGAGATTATCAAAAACGTAATACACTATATGCATTGAGATATTAGCAGATGCAAAAGTGACGACATTGTTCTCATTTCGAATAGTAAAGCCAGAGAGCACAAATCATCGCTACAAAAGAGATCAAAAAGTAGATATTCAAGGCAATGTGGAAAACTAAAACGGATAAAAATGTCGTTACAATCAACGAAAAAGAAATAACGAACAGACGGATTATATTTGATGTATGTTTAATTACGACTGACATGAAGAGACCATTAATCGCTTGTGTCACAATCACAAGCCAGGTGTAAATGGAAAAACCTTCAAATGGATTGAGCTGATAAAATGATCGAGAGGCTAGCAAGGGTATTCCTACTGCTGGAATTGAATTCAGTAACGATCCATAAGTGTAGAGATAGATGTTCTGCAGATGAAGAGATTCTGTGTAAAACTTTTTCAGAATCCATTCATTATAGACGCCAGCCACACCACTCAACGTGCAATAGAGAAGAACCATTGGAAGTCCCAATGGACGAATAAACATACTTGTCATAGTATTCGATGAGACGGTTGTAGAATTCGTAATAGTACCTTTAATGAAGAATAAACATATGAATGTAGTCGATGTTCGAAATATTTAGAAAGAAGTTCCTGAAAGTCAAGTCGACTTTCAAAGCTGACGCTCTATTTATGTTTACACAATACATATGAGTTCTAGAACATAAGCTCACTATCATTTAATCGTACCTTTATGCGATATTCTAGTTTGTATATCTACTCATAATGAATCTTGTGGGTTGACGCAATGATAAGTCTTAAAATTTCCCCTAATATACTACCATTTCTTCTTATTCAACTGAGAACTACTGTAGTTTGTGAGATATTTCTTGTCAGTTATAATATAAACACTTAATAGATACTTAACACAACACTTACAAAAAGTTTTAACAAGGTACTACATGTCAGAGTGCAGCAAGAATGTAGCAATCTCATAGGAAGTTAAGAAATAGGTATTACGATCTCCGTTTGAATTCAGATAAAGAATTGTATTCTGATTTTCAAGATACCTTGAATTACACTACTAAGTAGAATAAACTAATGAGTATTTCGAATTTCTCTTTCTTATTACATTTGCAGTCAAGATTTTCTTGATAATGCTGTGAAGCGTACAATCGATTAAAGACTAACACTAAATATGTATGAAGCAAAAATTCTCTATATCTGAAACTCATACATTATTATATGTTTAATGTTGTCTACAAATAATTAATTTGAAAATTTATATTCATGACTGGTGGTTCAACAAAACGAGAATGTTGAAAGAGCGGAAACAAGCATAGACAATTCAAAGATAAATGGAGAATTTTCTTTTGTTGTATCCATGAACAAGAAGATTCCTTCGAAATAAAAGCAACTATCAGGACCACTTCTACTGTATGAAACTGAGAAACACGATGAAATCGTTTCAATCAAGCATCGAAGTCTTTTCTATATCGATCACAATGTTAGAGAGATTGCATAATGTATAGTGATCAACATGTCAAAATATTTCTCATGGTATATGAAAAAGTCACATTACAACAGAAAAATATTTGATATTTTGCTTCAGGTCTTCATATTGATCTTAACTTACAATAACACATTTTAACTAAATCATGTGAATTTAAAAAGTTGAAGAATGCTCGAGATAAAATTTTGACATTCCTCTTATGTTTTAATGGAACCGACTGAAGAGGTTGAAGACACTTTTTTGGCTTTATACTGTAACACTCATCCGTAATCGTGTTTTAGCAAACATTGAAGCACGAAAAAATAGATAAAAATTGTTTCAAAATAATTGATTAAAAATTAAGTTTTGACGAATAATCAATTTTAATCTAATTTTC